GTCGTTGGCGCAACGGCGCTTGCAGGCTGTGGGCTTCTATGGGCTTTGGGATCCTTCCTTGAGGGTTAAATACTGTAATCGAATAAGTATTGTTATGACTATATACTTGTGGCATGAGAAACAGGGAGAATGGCGTCTTCAAAAGGAATGATATATTTATGCTTTCATATTGATACCATATTTGATAATATTAAAGACCAGCATTCGATGGCAGATCCCTATTAATTGTACCTCCGAATGTGTCTCAATCATGAAAAGGAATAACTTGGGCATTTAGACGTGGGCACTGGTTTCGATATGGTTGGTGAAGATATTCTAGATGCCTTAGTCAGCAGCATTTTGGTGTTGAACATTTCGCACTTTTACCTTTGTTGAACAGAATCTCAGTTTTACGTTGTCGCAAACTGGCATTCTACAAGCGATCAATCATTTTTGCGAAAGTAACAGGGGTTCCTTTTTTTCAGTTTGGTAGTCGTGGTTTTCCTTCAAAAAAGAATTGACATCAGCCAGCATGGAGAAACCAAAGGTAAGACAACAATAACAATACTTTACACGATGCTCCCCTGTAGAGGATCTGGTCGTCAACAAGTCAGAGGGAACAAGAGTGAACATTTCCACATGTACTTCTGAATAGTTAAAATTTTAAAACTACATACTGACCACTCTTCTCTTCAGACGAGGCCTCTCAAAACTATCCATCTCAAGTCGCGTCCACTTACAACACATGCCCTGGCATGGTCTTGCGACGCTGAGCTTGCGGTCTCAACAGACGACACAATTTACATATTTCTACCAGAGTACCCCAGGAGTGGGGGTCCAGATGATGCAGCGGAAGATGAAGAGTTACAAAGCCAGTATACGCTTTCATACCGTGCCTCGGGCTTGATCCGCCCAGATCCAACAATCAACGCTCAGCTTTGTTCTTTTTCGGGCATCAGAGTGGCAGGGCCACCAGCTAATGACGAGAACTGGTTTCCCGGTGTTGGAAGCGGTCTGGTCACTGGCTCAGGTGCTCCCATCTGCCAGATTGTGAGATTGGAATGGTCGCCAAATGGACTTGGATGCAATCTCCGGCCCGTCCTGACAGCACTGTCTACAAGTGGGTGCATCTATGTGATCGGAGAACATATCGACCGACAATCCGCCATGGTTGCAGGCATGCGATCCAGAAGTTTCAAGGCGTGGAAGACACTTTGGGGCCTTGGGGCTCAACTTCCACTGCCTGATACTAATCAGGAGGATGGCTACCGGAATATGAATGAGCGCATCCAGTCTTTCTCGTGGGCCAAGGAGATTGATACAGGCAGGGGCTTATTAGCATACTGCAATGATATGGAAGAGGTTACCATTATGACAGTGCAACTCTTCTCTCGACAAAAAGAGATCGATCCTGCCAGCGAAGAGACCATCTGGGACATCCGGGAAGTCAATCGATTCGATGGCAAAGGCCGGCATACCAAAGAAGATGTAAGCTATTCTAGACCTGGCTGGGAAAGTTTCTAACCTGTAACAGGCTGTGGACACCACAGATCCAGATTACGTTCCTCACGGAAGCGCCTTCTCTCTTAAATGGAGTCCTTGGTTCAGAAGTGAAGGTAAACGTACATCTATACTCGCGTATCTAACCAAGAACCATGTCGGATTCCGGAGAGTTACTATCCTGGATAATTGGGAAAGGGGTCAATCGCCGCGGGTTGAAGTTGAGAGCACAGATACGACATCTATATGCATGTTTCTTTCTACAGACGCATACGTTGAGTGGCAGGATCAGGTACAAGACTTCTGATACGGGGGGATTTCGTTGCTGACTTGACTCTAGATCGTCTACGATGGTGATAGGCCTACAGCTCGAGGCGTAATTGCCACGCCCTTTGATGTGAAGCCGTTCCAGGTTTCCTTTGTGGCCAACGTCGAGGGATCATCCGAACCCCATTATACTTGGGAGTGCTCAACGACATACCCCAAGGAGAGCGAAGTGGTGTCATCAAACCCTATCACAGGTATGATGTAAAGAAGTACTGACGGCTATGGCTAACAATGTCTTAGGATTGATGATTCACGATCAGAGTCATGTAATGGGAGGATCCGTTCCGAGCTATTCTATAGTCAGGTTATCGGCGACTATGCGCAACCAAGATTGGTTTCAAACAAATCTCCCTACCAAGGAGGCCTCAGTGCCCAAATGGGCGGTAAGGATTCGACGACAGACAACGAGACTGGTACCCAGAGCGACTGCCCTAGAGGGCATAGACTCGGATTCGGATGACTCAGAAGATGATATGATGGAGGAGGATACATCACAGCTGCAAGTTCCAGAAGCGAGGTACCGCATCTGGGGTCTGGCGCATTCACCTGGTGGTGGGACAACGGCTGTACTTGTGTCACGCTACAGTACTCTTCACCCAGAAAGAAGAGCACTGTGCAAGCTAATGTTCTCTCGAAGAGATGAAGAGCGCGAGGAGGCGGCTGGTACATCTGTGCCAATGAGACAACTGACGACTGAAGGGCAAGTCTGGGAATGGATGTATGGGAATGGCCCTGAAGTTCTCGGAACTACTTCCACTAGCAAGATCTCACCAGAGATGCATAACACACCCCTGAGGGAGCAGTTCAAAGACATTGCAGCACACCAGAACTGTGTTTTCTGCTATTCAGCGCTACGATTGGAAGAGGATATAGCCAAGTGTGAGAACGGGCATTTGTTTGGTAAGTTAAGCATCCGACTCTCTCCAAAAATCATCCTCCTGACGACCTTTAATAGCCCGTTGCGCCTCAACGGGTCTCGCTATCATGGCTCCAGATATATCAAGAATATGCGCCGTTTGTGAGCTGCGATGTCTCAAAGTTGCAGAGTTGACTCGTGTCGCTGACGAGAATTTTGGCCCGGGAACAAGGGTAGAATCTTCTGGAGAAGTTTGCGGTGGATGTGGAGGAAAATTTGTGGCCTAATAACAAATAAGCAGTAATTGAGAGTTGACGCCCTGCCGTGATGCGGTCTTCATTTATTTTGCATACCTTCACGTCATGCTCTTTGCATCGCTGCTCTTCTTACCATAAGTTGGGATTTGTTTTCTGATTCCAGACAGTTATCCGGCTGGGCTTGGCGTCTCTTTATTATTTTGATACTGTCTTTTGCACCAGATCAAGTTGACATTTACAGACAACCAAATACAAACTACTACCTAGACAACCATACCTGCTAAAGCTGCCGATGCTTGCATCCATCTTCTCAAGTGAGGGAAACGACTGACCACTTCCTTTGGCAAAGCATGCTCCAAATATCCATATGGCTTTCCGTTCCTTTGTTTGATCTTCTGGATGCTTTTTTCTTCCATTTATCTTTTAATCCCATTATGGTCATCAACAATCCGATCTGATCATACCAAGATACTTACAACAGGGCAAGGTTGAACAGGTATTGTCCAACGTTCATGCAGAGCCCACGTGCGGCGAGATCTGCCCCACACGATCGCAGGAAACCATGTGCAAGGCTCGACACCTCAAAAAAATCGATACAAGAACAACTTATAAACAGAAAATGAAGGCAACAACATCAAGATACATATTCAAGGTGAATGATATACTACTAGGTTCTAATTTCCTCCTATATAAACACCTACGAACCAAATAAATTTAACAATATAGCCTGTTAGTTGAGACAATACGACACTTTTGAACAATTCTTAGATCCAAAACATGTGGAGCTAATAACCCAGTATCTTGTAGACCCTCAGCTTCTCCATGTTGATAAAAGGCATTTTGTTCTACAAAGTCTCCAAGAGTCCATTGCATATTATAAAGGGTGAAGGGACCGAGAGAGTGGACTCAACCAGCCGGAGTTTCAAGAAAACGAGTAGAAATACATATCATTGATTGCCATGTAGACAAAAATCTACGCTTTGACGATGCTGGCTGGCATAGTCTTTCAGCACCTGGTTGCCTTCTCTCGGTTTCTGATAGTCAACCACCTATGATTTCAAAATGCAAATAACCCCGGATTGCTGAATTTTATGGATGGGCAGTCACAAACTATCAGACAACCACAGCTCAATATTTACCACAAACATTTAGACCAAGCTAGCTAATTAGCATTTTCTCCCCCTCCCCCCCCCCCCCCCCCCCCCCCCCCAAGTAAACGTCTCGCTCTGGAATACTCTGATTTATATATAATTGATGTTTCCCTAGTCTTTGACATTGTCGTCTTTAAGTGCTGGAGAAGTCCATGGTCCAGGGTAGTTATAGTATGTATGACAGGGGTAAGTGGGTATACACGATACTTGGAACGTATTGCGGAGCTTTCAAGCTGTAATTGGATTAGTAGGTGCTGTCTATGATACAGGTTACATGACAAACAGTCTTGTTCCCATAGCTTCATATGGAACCAGCCTGGCTGGCAAGAGAATAACAAACGAAACTGGTAGGATAATTGACAAACTTGACCTATATAAGCTTCTTGGTGTATGCTTCACATAACACAAAGCGTAAAAAGCCATCGTGATAACTCCTTGCTTAACTGATAGGTAAGAGTAACCAATACTCAGGCAGGTACGACGACTAGCCCCACACAACCACATCTCAGTCGTCAAAGACGTACTCCAGGTTTCATTTTCATTTCCAATCCTGGAACCAACTGAACCGCGTCCGTACACAAGTGACCAGCCCAGCCTCCCAATCCCACTCCCACTGCCACTCTCGTGCCCACGACTCACGCCCATATTTGATCTGACGTTTCCAGACCAGATCCGTCATTCGTTCACCAAACCGAAACCCGACAGATTGATTGGACCCCATTCGTGTTCCATCAACAGCCAACTACAAGCCTGTCCTCGCTCACACACGCGTGCCCGATCCCTCCCACTCCCACTATACGCCGGCTGCTGTCTGCCGCTGTTACAGCATCCATAGGTAGCATAGCATTGCATTCTTAGCTCAGCTCAGTCAAGTCCAGCCCATCACGCGCTGCCGCCTGAAGCGCTGCACTGACGCCTTTGACGCCCGTCATGTACTCCGCCGGCTACAACTTTGGCAACAATGCTGCTCCCTCTTTCAACAACCCTGCCCCACAGCAGCAATCTGGAGCCCAGCCAGCCGCTCAACAGATGATGTATAACCAGCAGCAGCAGTTCGCCGGTATGGCTCCGCAGGGAGGCTTTAACCCCGGCGCGAATCCTCAAATGATGACCGGTGGTCCTGGAGGTATGATGCCGAACGCAGGTATGCAACATATGGCTGCCAATGGTCAGAGTAGGTCCAATCTCCATATTCGCACGCGACACTCCATCAAACCTCTTAGCATGCGCTTGTCGTGAAGACTATGGTCATCGCCAGAAGCAATTTGACGATGCTGGGGCAGTTGCGCGACTGGTCGAGAGCGCGGCGCAAACCACTTTCTGACGCGACGCAATACTATCTCATCGTTTCCAGCTTTAGTGACTAACATGTTGCGCATAGTGGCAGGATTTCAGCAACAATTCCCCGGTAATCCGTACGGCCAAGTCGTTCCCTCCTCGGTCGCTCCCCAAAGCTTCGCGCCAAACTACATGATGGGCGGAGGCATGCAAGGCTTTCCGATGAACCAGGGCGGTATGCCTCAACAACCTCATATGATGCAGCGAATGCAACAGCAACAACAACAGCAGCAGCAAGCGCAGGCACAGGCGCAACAACAACAACAGCAGCAGCAAGCTGCCAACGCTGCCGGTATGGGTCAGGTCTCTACTCCACAGAGACCCCCGAGCGCCGTACAAGGGACACCAAACAATGCCTTGCCATCTCAACAGGGTCAATTCCCGACTTCTCAGCCTCCATCTCAGAGCCAAACTCCTACAAACCATCAGCAGCAGCAACAACAACAATCGCAACCTCCACAACTACAGCAGCAGCAACTCCAGCAACCACAGGGGCAAATGCAGGGACAGGTGCAGCAACAACAACCGCCCTCGGCTGGTTTAACAACACCTCAGACTCCGACTTTCTCCTCAAATCAGGGACAAGCCGTGAATGGCAGCTCATCAGCCGCTGTACCGCTAAGTCCTGGAACGGAATCTCGAGACAAGGAGCGTTTCGCCTTGCTATTGGACATCAACCATGAACTACTCTACGAATCGATTCAAATCCAGGCGACACAACAGGAGCTGAAGAAGGAAAGTGCTGCGGCTGGAAATCCGGGGGACAAGAAAGAAGAGGAAACGCAGCTACAGCACGATTATCTCCAGTGAGTCTTTTCGTCGGAAGTGTTGTCAGGTTGCTAACAGTACTCTTCAGATGCATGAGACGATTGCAGGCAAACTTGTCTTATATGGCGGCACTTGCAGATCGAAAGCCTGAGGTTAAAGTTCCACCTTGTCCAGCATATCTTAGTGCACCATCCCTGAATCTTTCTACCAAACTCCGAGCTCCAGCCATAGGGGGACCTGAAGGCACAGAGAACAGTATCGACCCAGTGGCAGATCGCGAAGAGCGAAACAATAGCATCAAGGATCTTTACTCGAGATTGCAAGCCGCCTTTCCTGGCTTTGATCCCAAGAAAGAACCCACTTTCCGTGCGAATACACAAGGTGGACAAAAGCCTGGCAACTTGATGGGAAACCAGGCCAGTCCCACAGCTCAAAGGACACCAAAGATCACAAATATGGGGGCGCCTCCAATGCCATAGCTAGACACGGCCAGATTGTTTTTTTCTTTCAAAAAAAGATAGCAAGGTGTACATTGATGGGTTATAGACATTTCAGACAAGATTACTTCCTCTTCGCTGGTTGGGTTGTTGTGTTTCATACTTCAAAGAATAGCATTTGCATATTGTTTCAGTATAGGGTTGCTGACTTGGTTTGAAAATATTGAAGAATATGGAAGTTGGAATGATTTTAACTACAAAAACAGCGTTGCCTGAGAAGCGTTTGTACAACGATACGCTTATATCTGTCTGACGATGGTGATTTCCCTTGCATGTCTAAGGACTATATGAGGGAACTGAGGAACGGCTATACAAAATGATCATATCAAAGACTTCCTCAAAGGTCCAGTCGTCCAAGGCCAAAATTATGAAACGTGATCAATACCTACCTATGATAGTATAACGTCATCCCAGTCCCACGAATCTCATCAGTCATGAACACCAATAATTAGTGTTTAATTAACGACTCCTCTTCCAACAGTAATATCTCATTTTTACATTGTAAGGCATGGCCATGGGTTCGCGTGGCACGAGCCTCATCTCATGCACAAAAACCAACTTGGCTACATGGGCCTAATAGATAGAAATCTCGGCTTAAATCTTGGGGTACAAGAAGCAGACGACCCAAGCACTAGCCCAAAATGACATACTACGTAATGAAATTGACTGAAATTTCATCCTTGAGACCCTAAGGAGTCAAGTTTTCCAATGCATCTGAACGACTCGGGTGAAACTAAGATTCAAAGTGGACTGGAAGGTATGCCAGTTAATCCAATGACAACACAGTTGAAGTAAAAAAATCTTTTTTTTTTTTTTTTTTTTTTTTTTTCAAGCTGTGGAGGTGGATGGATAGTGGAGTTTTTGAGTTTTAGCCTGTGATGCGGCGCGGCTTTTTCTCACTGCCGCCCTGGGCTCGAGCTTTTGATCTTTGGGGTGGTGGTTGATTGCCGATTTCAAAGAGATTTTGCAGCGTGCAGATTAGGTTTTCACAGTAAGAACAGAACAGGACCTTGCTGACACACTCCTTCTGAAGCATCTGGAACGCTTCTCTGTGTGCTTCATGCAATGTAATGTCGAACATGGCTTGTCTCGGTATCACAGACCTCGTCATGACAACTTCATGCCAGCGATTGGATCACTCTCCCAGATCAGAGATGATTATTCCGTTACCGGAGTCATATCAAGCCTCCCCGCCACCTGCCAGCTTGTGTTCTTCCTTGGACATGTTGTCGGAGCGGCTAAACCCTGACCGCTGATCTAACAAACCCACTCTCGAGGCTCAAGTCCAACCATCTCTCATGGTCGATCACTCATGATGAAAGGTCGTTGCGCAGCTTGTGGAGAGGCTTGAGAGGTTCGGCCAAGGCATGGCGGGGCATTTTAGTGTCCCTGCAGATATCAACGAAGTGCTATAATTGGGTGCCTTCAGGGAACTGTTTCTGAATTGACCAACCAAATCTCTCGTAAACCCACAGCGGGGAACACCCTGTAAGAGCAGACAATCAAGCCAGGCGATAAAAAAAAAGTTTCCCAGGGCCGCTTTCGTCAAGAACCTCTTCTTCTCCCTCCTCCTCCCCAAACCCTCGCTCTTCCAGCATCCTCTTCTTCTGCAACTCTTGCTGAGGCTAATGATTGCGAGGTAGCTTCTGACCTTATCAGGGTAGCTCTGAAAACGAGTTAACTTGCCGGCCCGTCGCTCGCAATCTCCCTGCCCTCCCACGGCGACCCCTCCACGACGTTTCGTGCCCCGCGTTTATCTGGGTCTTTGGTTGATATCATCACCCAGCGCAGTCCCTTTTTCTCTCTTTTTTGTTTCAATTTTATATCACAACCACCACAATGGCTTTGGTTCCTCAACCTCCCGCCTCTGCTCGTCAGTTTGGCGCCGAGGACGATGGCCTCGTCTGCCTCGAACTTGAGGATGGCTCCACCTTCCAAGGTTACAGCTTTGGTGCCCAGAAGAGCATTGCTGGAGAGCTGGTCTTCCAAACGGGTATGGTTGGCTATCCTGAGTCCGTGACGGATCCTTCGTACCGCGGTCAGATCCTCGTTATCACTTTCCCCCTCGTCGGAAACTATGGTGTTCCCTCGCGCGAAGCCATGGATGAGCTTTTGGGCGACCTGCCTGCTCACTTCGAGTCTAACCAGATCCACATTGCTGGTCTCGTCACAGCTTCATACGCTGGCGAGGACTTCTCTCACTTCCTTGCCACATCTTCTCTCGGCACATGGCTCAAGGAGCAGGGCGTTCCTGCCATGTACGGCGTCGACACCCGTGCCCTGACCAAGAAGATCCGTGAGAAGGGTAGCATGCTGGGAAAGATGCGCCTTGAGATTAGCGGCCTTACCAACGGCGCCGTCACCAGCCGGGTCGATGGTGCTTTGGCTGCTCTCCCTCTCGACAACTTTGAGCAGGTCGAGTGGGTCAACCCCAACAACAAGAACTTGGTCCAAGAAGGTGAGTCCTCTAGCGTTTTCGTACTTGGAGACGCATGCTCATTATTTATGTAGTGTCTATTAAGGAGCCCAAGCTCTACAAGCCACCTCCGTCGGTCGCCCGTAAGCACCCTTCAGGGCGTACTATCCGTGTTCTGTGCCTCGATGTCGGTATGAAGTTCAACCAGCTGAGGTGCTTCCTCAAGCGTGGTGTCGAAGTCCTCGTGTGCCCCTGGGACTATGATATTGCCAGTGCCATTGACGAGTTCGATGGTCTCTTCCTCTCCAACGGTCCCGGTGACCCCGCCGTTCTCGAGAACACCGTCAAGAACATCGCTTCCGTCCTCGAGAAGAACGAAATCCCCGTGTTCGGTATCTGCCTGGGCCATCAGCTCCTCGCCCGTGCTGCCGGAGCTACCACCAAGAAGATGAAGTTTGGTAACCGTGGCCACAATATTCCTTGCACCAGCATGGTCACTGGCAAGTGTCACATCACTTCTCAGAACCACGGTTTCGCCGTCGACACTGACAGCTTGACCAACGGCTGGAAGGAGCTCTTCGTCAACGCCAACGATGGTAGCAACGAGGGTATCTACCACACTGAGAAGCCTTACTTCAGTGTGCAGTTCCACCCCGAGAGCACTCCTGGTCCTCGCGACACCGAGTTCCTCTTTGATGTCTTCATCAACACCATGGCCAACTGCGCCGAGAAGCCTGAGCTCCTCAAGACCCCCGTCCACTTCCCTGGCGGCACTATTGAGGAGAACGAGGCTCTCCACCCTCGAGTTTCTGTCCGCAAGGTCCTGGTTCTCGGCAGTGGTGGTCTTAGCATTGGCCAGGCTGGTGAGTTCGATTACTCTGGTAGCCAGGCTATCAAGGCCTTAAAGGAGGAGGGTATCTACACCGTCCTCATCAACCCCAACATCGCCACTATCCAGACCTCTAAGGGCTTGGCTGACAAGGTTTACTTCCTTCCTGTCAACGCCGACTTTGTCCGAAAGGTCATCCAGTACGAGCGTCCTGATGCCATCTATGTCACCTTTGGTGGACAGACTGCCCTCCAGGTCGGTATCCAGCTTAAGGACGAGTTTGAGTCGCTCGGTGTCAAGGTCCTTGGCACACCCATTGACACTATCATCACCACTGAGGATCGTGAGCTCTTTGCCCGCAGCATGGACTCTATCGGCGAGAAGTGTGCCAAGTCGGCTTCTGCCAACAACATTGACGAGGCCATGCACGTCGTGAAGGACATTGGTTTCCCCGTCATCGTGCGTGCCGCCTATGCCCTTGGTGGTCTCGGCAGTGGTTTCGCCAACAACGAGGACGAGCTCCAAGAGCTCTGCAACAAGGCGTTCGCCGCCAGCCCCCAGGTTCTTATTGAACGCAGTATGAAGGGCTGGAAGGAGATCGAGTACGAGGTTGTCCGTGATGCTCAGGACAACTGTATCACCGTCTGCAACATGGAGAACTTCGATCCCCTCGGTATTCACACTGGTGACTCTATCGTTGTCGCTCCCTCCCAGACCTTGTCTGACGAGGACTACAACATGCTGCGAACAACAGCTGTCAATGTCATTCGCCACCTTGGCGTTGTCGGAGAGTGTAATATTCAGTATGCCCTGAACCCCTTCTCCCGCGAGTACTGCATTATCGAGGTCAACGCTCGTCTGTCCCGATCCTCAGCTCTCGCCTCCAAGGCCACCGGTTACCCTCTTGCTTTTATCGCTGCTAAGCTTGGTCTCGGCATTCCCCTCAAGGAGATTAAGAACTCAGTCACCAAGTCCACCTGTGCCTGCTTCGAACCCTCGCTTGATTACTGTGTGGTCAAGATGCCCCGATGGGATCTCAAGAAGTTCACTCGTGTGTCCACCCAGCTTGGTTCTTCTATGAAGAGTGTTGGTGAGGTCATGAGTATCGGTCGATCATTTGAGGAAGCCATCCAGAAGGCCATCCGTGCCATTGACCCTAACAACCTGGGTTTCAACGATACCGAGGCCCTCATGAGCATTGAAGATGAGCTCCAGACCCCCTCTGACCAGCGTCTGTTTGCCATCGCCAACGCCATGCACGAGGGATACACCGTCGACAAGATTTGGGAGCTTACCAAGATCGACAAGTGGTTCCTCACCAAGCTCAAGGGCCTGAGCGACTTCTCCAAGCGCATGACCGGCTACAACACCACCGACATCACGTCCAGCCCATCCATCCTCCTCCAAGCCAAGCGTCTCGGTTTCAGTGATCGTCAGCTCGCCAAGTTCTGGAGCTCCAACGAGATTGCCGTCCGCCGCATGCGACTTGAGGCCGGTATCCAGCCCTTCGTCAAGCAAATCGATACCGTCGCCGCAGAGTTCCCTGCCTTCACAAACTACCTCTACATGACCTACAATGCCTCCGAGCACGACGTCAGCTTCGACGATCACGGTGTCATGGTCCTGGGTTCCGGTGTCTACCGTATCGGTTCATCAGTCGAATTCGACTGGTGTTCAGTCAGAGCCATCAGAACACTCCGCGCTTCCGGTTTTAAGACAATCATGGTAAATTTTAAT